AGTGCATGGTTAAAAACGAAAACTGAACTAAACTGCACCATGCTTGGTTCACTGTAACCGCTCTGGACTAGAGGAAGCCTCTTCTAGGTCAACAGATGACGTGAAAACGAGGCATTTAGAAATACACAGAGCGCTTAGGTAGAGAAAGTGTCTTGCGCCTTCCAGGTTGGGGTTCAAAAACTCTGCAACCGGTTGGTTGGAGACACTAAAGGATTTAATAGAGAACCGACAGCAGTGGTGTTCCTGTTGTCATTTATTATTAGGCCAGAACACTTGAAAAGGTATGTATGCACAGCTAAACTGTGTAGTCTGTTTTGACCATAGAGGTACACTTTTTTTCCCTGTCCCTCAAAATAGGTCCAATGCGTGTCATCCTACATATTACCTCTAACTTTGCATGCTTCGCGAGTTTGGTAGCAATCAGTGAAGTTCGCTTCTCTATTTCGTCGTACGATGTTGTTGAGGATGATGTCTGCTAGTATTGGTTCGAAGATTCGATCGGAAGCGGCCCTTTGAAGTCGATGGCGCGGTGTCTTTGATCAGATTTCCAATTGGGAATTTAAAGAATAAATTTCACTTCATCGACAGATTGAAGGATATTTTAAGTTATACAAAATAAAGTATTCGGGCTACTTTCGGATGACACAGTTAATGGTGTAATTGTTTGAGTGTTTTGAGTGACGTCGACACCGAGCGGAAGCTCTGAGACAGTGCATCAGCCGCCACATTTACATATTCAGAGCGATAGGTAATATCAACACTGTAGCATAATAATTCAGTTCCCTGGATTTTTTCATTTCACCATTATGTCTCGAATCGAAGCAAGGCAACGTTTTTGATCCGTAATCAGTCTGAATTGCATACCAAGCAACTATTTTTGATTTCCACATAGTTTTGACGACGGTATTGGTGTGTTTCTCCATACAGTAATGGTGTCGTTCGTTTGGGAGAAGGCCACTGGCAGACGCTTCTGAAATTAGTATGGCTGAGTTAGATATGCTTGAGGCGTGTTACCACGACTAGTGGTTTTTGTCGGGCCAGTAGCGGTAAGGTCCGCAAGTCGTAGTTCGCTATTGTGCGTTTCAAAGGACACCTTGATTCCCTCCGAATGAGGAAGTAGATGATTATGTACCAAGGAATGTATATTATCTGAGATTCGAGGTTTCTAATGTCAGTAATATGAGAATAAACCGATTGCCCACTTTGGGACTGGAGGTCTTTGGGAGGTGGAAATTCTCGGAGTGGTTTCATTCGTTTATGGTCTGGTCTCATCGAGCTGTTTGAGACGTCGAACCCAGGAGTTTTACTTCTTTGGTACCGATGAGGCACTTTTCTTCGTTTCGAATAAGCCCATATTTTCTCTCGGCGTTAGAAAATTGAGTTAGATTTTGATCGTGATCGTCCCTGTTCATCCCGCACACAATAATGTTATCCATGAGGAGTGAGTTGCTTTAGCCTGGGCAACCTGGCTGTATTCCGCCCACAAATAAATCATGAAACGTTTTTCTCTTTGTAAATATTATTGTAACGTGATCGGTTTGGAACATGGTCTGACCTCAGATGTGTGTGGAATATGAATACAATGATATTGTTCATGTAGGCGAAGGCCCCCGACAGGTTTTTCTCCTAAATAAGTTTATCGATTGCCCACTGTAAACAAGCAACACCGTTAGTCAATCCAAACGGTATTTGACAGAGCTTGTACAGCTTGCCGTAGGCTTCGAAAGCAGTGATCAGTCGATCTTTTTCTTCTAAAGCTATTTGGTGGTAGGAACTCCATAGATTCTCCGGCACAGAAGACAATATATGGCGATAATTTAGACACCTTTTCATCCATTTGTGGCAGTGAGTATGCGTCCTACGGCATGTGACAATTAAGTTTGACTTTAGTCGAATACCGTGTGTATTTTGTGCTGTTCGTTCGTGGTCACAGGGGCTTGTGCGCGCCAGGGGGAAGTTGAAGTTTGAATGATGCTGTCATGAAGAAGTCGACGAATTTCCCATCGGATGAATTTCTCGTCATCCTGAGTGTGGCGGCACGATTTCATTGCAATGGGTAGATAGATGGCAGTTCGATGCGTGAGGCAGTTACTTTATAAAGGAAAGGGATGGTCTGCTACTGCTGAACGGAATTTGATTTGCTTTGTGGGGTTTAAAAAATCGCATCCCGGTAATACATTTGCAAACAAATGTTGAATGACAGAAAGTTTGAGACTGTCGTGGGAATTATTCTTGAGGTCTATGATGGCTAGAAAGTGGCCTTTTATATGGCTAACCAGTCATGTGTATGCAATCGAGATTGTACTGGATGACTGCGTGACCTTCAGGTGGTGTCAATTTAGGAAAAATTCATAAGTGTAACTTTCAGAGCTTCCTCTTTACTGTTGTGTA